ATATTAAATAGATTTCAATTATTGATGATATATTATTAATTATATTCATATATATCATTTAAATTATTATAAATGCTATTATATGCCATTTAAAATGTTACAAATATGAGATCCATTTTCATTACTACAATGCAAAAAAATTATTTGCAACATTTTATGTTCAGCATCTGGAAAAAAAGTCATACAGGTTTGGAATTAATAGAGATTAAATATTACATATATTCATTATATTTTTTTATTTATATTGAAATGATTCATATTTAAATTATTTACTATATATTATTACGTGTATATTAATTTATATTATTTAAATTATTATAAATAATATTATATGCTATTTAAAATGTTACATACACACATATGAGATCCATTTTTTTACTGCAATGCAAAAAAATAGTACTTTATGTTCAACGGAAAAAGAAAAAGGTCATACAGGTTCGGAACGAATGGACATAAAGCTTGGCAGAAAATGTTACTCGTTTATCTTATAAAAAATATTATGTTTTTAATATATTAAATAGTATGTTAGTATGTTGCTATGCGGTTGCTAGGTGGCTGCTCAGAGGACCCAATCAAATTTAAGGTATTATTTAAGTGAGTATGGGACAAGTTATACACCAAAGTTAATTCTACTTAAGTCATACAGGTTTGGAATTAATAGAGATTAAATATTACATATATTCATTATATTTTTTTATTTATATTGAAATGATTCATATTTAAATTATTTACTATATATTATTACGTGTATATTAATTTATATTATTTAAATTATTATAAATAATATTATATGCTATTTAAAATGTTACATACACACATATGAGATCCATTTTTTTACTGCAATGCAAAAAAATAGTACTTTATGTTCAACGGAAAAAGAAAAAGGTCATACAGGTTCGGAACGAATGGACATAAAGCTTGGCAGAAAATGTTACTCGTTTATCCAGTTTATGAGGCGACAGGCTTGATTTGCCATCATCCTCTCCAGCAGCACAAGAATGATAAAAGCATTCAGATAAACATCACTTACACACCTAATGTGCATCATTTGCTCTTCATTACGACTAAAAAGCCTCCTGGGTCTGCTGGGAACTGTGAGATATGAAATTGCCCACAGTGTCTGTTTTATAAATCAATTTTATCAATTTTGATTTCTGGACTCGTAAGAGCTTCCCAGGAGGGAACAATTGTTACGGAGTTATGACGGAGATATTGTCTGTTTTGCCACTAACGTTTAAACAAGCTTTGGAGCATCAAAGCAATGGCATCAAAGCTCTAGATGTGTGACGTGGGATTTTCCAGAGCTGGAAGTGAGAGCAGCTGTGGCAGAACGGCTGTAGGTAAAGGCCAGGATGCCACAACTCAAACTATATTCCCATTTGGGTTCGAGTTATTTATAAAATACACTTTTTTGTCCTATGAAAATGACTTGTAAACAACAGAAAAGCTGCTGTTTACAAGACTAAACTTCTAAAGCCTTGTATTGACCACTCTGTGCTCCAAAAAACAACACGCAAAGCCTTACGAAATATGTCTGAAATGTTCCATACAGCTAATGTTTCTATGTTTTTTCTCTTCCAATCATGTTCTCTCTATGAAGGAGCACTGGTTTTGGAGGGTCAGAGATAACGCTGTGATGCCCGGTTACCCCATGCTTATCAATGTCTTCTGGAGGGGTCTGCCACCCAAGATCGACGCCGTCTATGAGAACAGCAAGGGCAAATTTGTTTTCTTCAAAGGTAAGATTTCTACACATCAGATCAACGTCCTTCAGCACAATTTGTTTACAAGCGTCACAGGTGAGTTAGTGAGGGAACAGCGTCAAGATGAGACTTTCTACAGAGGGGTCAACTGCTGTAGGGCTCTCATGGGTTTATCTGCACGGCTTTACTGGAGCGGAGGGCAGTTTGCCTCTAAATATAACACCGTTAGGAGTTCATCTAGTGACTGTAAGAACATGCATGTGTGTGAGAGCGTCTATGATGGTGAATCTCACAAAACCTGTCAAGAACATGAGTCATATTTAAACACAATCGAAAGGAAATAGGCATGTACAAATGTTGCAATATTTAATATGATCAATAAATTAAAAGGATTAATAAATGATGTATGACAACAATAATAAAATAATAATGAGACTAAATGATAATAATTTATATTGCTAATATATTAATAATATTATAAAAATGATATAAATATAATCATTTCTTTTTATTTTGACATTTATATAATAATAATTCTTATTATTATGCATTATTATATGTATATCATTATAAATAATATTAAATAAAATAAGTTATTATTAATACTA